GGGGGATTGAACCATGGTCCCTGTGCTTTGCTAAGCTTGTTCTAAATAGGTGCTTTAGACCACGGAGCCATCTCACCAGCCCCCCAGATTGGGATTTGAAAAGCCATTTATTACTGAGCTCAGGGCCCCCATCAGCTCTCAGGAAAGGACCAAAAGGCAGCTAGCCCAGGAAGCAGGGGGGGTTTTAAAACCTGGAACCACATTTCATTTGGTAAACAAATTCATTATCTGATACACAATAATGCTTTCAGGGTCATTGTGACCACTGCTCAAACTAAATTTCCTGGGGCTTTGTGTTAGTTTCTGGCTGTCTTGCACCTGAGTACCTGCCGGCAGCCTTGCATAGCCCGGAGGTTACAGGAAGTTAAAGCCCATTTAATTTCCTCTTGAAGTCATCTCTGTAAGCTAACTTTGGTAACAGGAATTGGTGAGGGAGGAATTTTATCTAGCAAGCAACAAGAAACAGTCACTAGTTACTAAACAACTTAGAACAAGTGGTGAGTATACATTTTTACACAACAGAAAACACAAGATTTACCTTTATAATCTAAAATGTGAGTTGACCCATTACACATAATAGACCATAAAAAAAGAAAAGAAAAACAAGAAACACCCAGAACCATCAACCAGGGTATAGGTAGATGAAGTGTGGTACAACAGACTAGAGTTTTATCACCAGAAAGGAACAAGCTAACTTTTTTTTTTTTTTTTTTTTTTTTGCGGAACTGGGAATTGAACTCATGCCCTTGTGCTTGCCAGGCAAGCGCTTATTCTACTGAGCCATTTCCCCAGCCACCTTAACGTTTGAGAAAATATAAATGAACCTCAAAATCAATAACTTCAGGGGCTAGGGAGATGGCTCAGTGGATAAGTGCTTCTCTGGCAAGTGCAAGGGCCTGAGTTCAAATTCCAGGTTCCGCAAAAAAAAAAAATAATAAATAAATAAATAAAAAATAAATAAATCAAAAACTTCGTTGCATGAAATGTCCAAAAAAATGCAAATCTACTGACGTGCAGAGCTGCTTAGTAGTTCGTGGGGCTGGAGATGGGCAGGGTTGACTACAAATATGTATGAAATGATGGAAGTATTCTAAAATGGAATTATGGTGATGTTTGTGCAGTTTTGTTTCCTTTCTCTAAAGGCCAGTGAAATGTAAACTTGAAATGAATAGAGTTCTTAGTATGTGCATTATTATTCTATACAGCTCTTGTATAAAAGAGAAGCAGGCCTCAGGCTGAGCTTCTATGAGTGCCTCCAGCACACTGCTGCCAGAGTCCCTTGGGGTGAGGACATGCCCAGGACACTAGAGATGTCCAGCACAAGAGATCTTTAGATTTTATACTAAGCACTGTATGGATCCAGAGGAGGAAACCAAGGTCCAGTTACAGGAAGTGATTAGCCCAGGTCCACCAGCCATGAAGGCCATGGATTTTGAGAGGTCCCAGGGGATGAGGTCCTTGTGTTGTAGGCAGCTAAATTAGATAGAAATATTATAGGCAGTCAGACAGGGCCAGACCCTCAAGGAGACAAGATGGAAGACAAGGTGACTTTGCAACTTGGAAGAGACAGACACTCCCATATGGGCCAGACCTCACGACAAAAGAGGAAACAGAGCTACATACTTCCCTAGGAATGGGCATCAGGGATTGATATTCTAAATAGGTATCAATTACCTTGAAAGATCCCAAATGAGTCACTAACCCAACCCCCAACAGGAGGAGACTCTGTCCTGTATTCATGCCCCTGCTATGTGACCACCTCCCCATTTGGTACTGGATTTAATCAATTTTACAAGAGAGGGCTGGGGAGATGGCTCAATAGAATAAGTGCTTGCCAGGGTCTGAGTTCAATCCCCGTTTCGGCAAAAAAAAAAAAAAAAAAAATTACATGCACAAAGGTGCTTGTAATCTTATTGGTTGACCATAGTTTTTTGGTGGAACCAGGGATTTGAACTCAGATCCTTGCGCTTGCCAGGCAAGCACTTATTCTACTGAGCCATCTCTCCGGCCCGGTTGACCATAGTTTTATCCCACCTTATGCCCATCTAAGTGAGCTCCCATGTCTTCTCCACCACCTTAGACCCACCTCACCACATGGTTTTCCTCTAAGAAAAGTACCTAGTAGAGACAGCTTCCCAGGGAACCACCCACTTGGGCCCCCCTACTGTCCCTCTCTTGGACAGGAACTTTCTTTCCTTCAATAAATATATTCTGCTCATAACCTCCATTTGTTCCTAAAATTCATTTTTTGGTTTTAGAGAACACGAACTCGTCCCAGGTACCTTTTAGGTTGGGAGATCAGTTTTTCTCCCTGTGTCATTTGGAGGTTCCCTGTGTCACTTGCAGTCCAGATAGGGCCTAGACCCATCCTTTCTCCCTTTTTCTGCTGGGCCAAAGGACAGAGACTACCCGTGGAGTGGCTGCAGTCAATTTATTTGGGACGTGCCAATGCCAGGCATGGATCTTGGGTAGGGCATGGGTGGGTGGGTGCTGAGGAAGCCAGTCGGTGCGAAGAGTCCTCTGATCACAGAAGGACAGCAACGGACACATCCAGCGGAGCCTGTCAGTGCTTTGCAAAATCACCTCCTAGGGGACGAGGGAGGGAGAGATGAGCTAGCAAGACAGGCAGAGGGGTCAGGCCGCTCGGCCACAGAGGGATGCAGTCCCCGGGTCCTGGCAGCAGAGGAGGTGAGGCAGAGCTGCCCGAGGCTGGGCTTGCCCACCTGCGGCACTCAGGTTTCTCCTTCACTTGCCAAGTGGGACGACCTCCATTCTATACTAGGTACTTCACTGGTCTGTTCTCCCCTGTAGCATTTGAACTACATTATATTCCAAACACTCAAGCTTTTGTGTGATTGGAGAAGAAATAAACAGAATGTTGAGAAGGAGGAAAGATCGGATTGGAAGGACTCAAGGAAGAGCGGGGTCACAGAGCTTTGTGTGTGCTCCTGGCGTGCTCAACTGATCCTATCTTGGCGTAGGGTTCAGCCAGGCGGACAAGGCCCCACCCAGGCCACGCCCACCTCCTATAGAGCCCCGCCCACGCCGACTAAGCCCCGCCCCCGAGCGCTGCGCAGGCTCAGAAGCCCAGTCCAGGCTCTCGCCCAGACCCACCTTGGCAGGCGCTGCACTGGCAGCTGTGGATCACCGGCAGCACCGCGGGCTCCGTGCTGCCGTCGGAACAGCGCAGGTGCAGGATCTTTACGGGGCTGTCCGGATCCAGGCGGTAGCTGCAGCAGTCGCACTGGCTCTGCAGGTACGGCTCCTGGGCGGGGAGTGGGGTGGTGTGAACTGGGGAGGGTCCACTCGGGTAGTACTGGATCCCACTACGCCTGGCCAAGCATCTTGGCGGAGCTGGGAAGGGCGGTGTCACCTCCTAGCCTCCTTCTCCAGAAACCCACCTTCTGCACTCCAGCCCCATCCCTCTACGCATCTGAATGCCCGGCAACTTGCAGGTTAGAAAAAATGTAGGCGTGGGGACCCCGATTCCTCCCCAGGGTCTTACCAACTAGAGATGTATTCATAATGCATGCAAGTGCGAATAATTAAACCCAACTGCACCCTTGTGGTCCTAAATTCAGTGTGCTTTCCTCCGGGGCAAGCCCCTCGGGGCCTGTGATTATCGAGGTCCCCTTCCAAGTCCCACAGGGACTTGGCCAAGTTCTAAAACTCCATACAAAAGTTATTTGCTCACATCTCCAAACTGCTTTCCTTTCTCTCTGTTCTAAAGACTGCCGGGGTGATTTGGGAAGGCATCCCCAGGGGAGGGGAGGGGCAGCATCGCTGAACCCCAGGTAGGAAGCACCTCTGTCTTCCAGGCCTGGGAAAGCCAGGTGGGCAGAGGCGGAAGGGAGTGGCTACAGTCATATCTCTCTGAGAGAAGGGCTCTGGGGCTGGGGCCGGAGAGTTAGCCCAAGAAGACGCCAGGAACAGGGCCTAAGAGATTCTGGGCGCCACTGAGGCCCTATGAAGATCCTCAGGAGAAGTAGTGCTCAGCTTCTGGGAGAGCAAGCATGGAGACTCTCGACCTCAGGACCGCCAGGTCAGGTGTACATGTTGCTAGGAGCCATCCCGGCACCCTCAGTGTGAACACTGGCTTCTCAGTAAGATCCCCTCCTCCGCCTCTTTCTGTGCGGTGCGCAGTGGCCCGGAGACATGCTCTAGGAATGGTCAGGACCACAGGGCGTGCAGACCACCACCCTGGTGCATAGCCTGGGCCCGACTGCTAGCCCTGTGGGGGTGGGCCATGGCCCTCCTGTCCTCTGGGTTTTGCCCAGGTCCCAGGCTGCCCCCCATGGGACTGTAAGTGGCCCCTGGCTCACCTCAGCCATGACATTGGTGCTAGACAGGCAGTGCCCACTGCAGTAGCTCACTTCTACCTGGTCCAGGTGGCACAGCCCCTTGGTAAAGTTTCGAAGCTCAGTAAGGCGCTGGCAGGAGGGTGGCCGCTCCTCTGTGGGGGGAGAGGCAGGAGCTGGGGCAGGGAAAGGGGGAGGCTGTGACAGAGCCCAACCCAGGGATAGCGGGACCTACAGAGGCCAGAGCCTGGGATGCTGGAGCCTGTGGGGTGGGGGTGCCAGCCAGTACGGTGCAGCCCTGGGTTCTCTACGCTCATCCCTGGGGGGGGGGTGCAGGCTCGGGGAGGATGGGCACATGCCAGGCTGAACGGGCAGCTGGGGAGAAGGGTTCAGATGAGGCACCCCGCTGGCCTCCATACCGAGAGTTTCCCACTGGCAAATGGGACAGCAGCTCTCTGGCTCCTGCACCAGCGTCTGGCCCTGTGGAGGGAGCCATCCGCATCTAGTGAGGAAGACGCTGTCGCCTCAGCCTTGCACTGCCTACCAGGACCCTAAGACCAGCCTCAGAGGAGGGCCCCAGAACAGAGGCCAGGAGACACCTGAGTAGGCCACGGGGGTTACCTGAGCACAGGTGAGGCGAGGGCAGAGCTGAGTGCAGACACTTGTCCCTCCCAGGCAGCGACAGCTGTCACAGCCCTCCTGCCATTCGGATCCAGGCTGGGGGTGGAACAGGAGGGCCTCCTCTTGGTTTCTCGCCTGTGCTATGATCATGTCCCCTGTCCCCAGCCCAGAAGCACCCAGCCAGGGTGATGGACTAGGACTGGCCTAGGCAACAAGAGTCTCAGGAGGCCCACGGAGGGTTTGAGGGAGAGCAGGGGGGTCTGGAGGGGTGGTCCACTCCCGCCCACCGCAGAGCAGTAGTGTCGTAGAATGGCTCAGTAGGGAGGGAGGGAGGCCTAGGATCACAAAGGAGTGACATGTGGCAGCAGAGGTGGACTTAGGTCTCACCAAGTGGGGACGCCCGAGGTGCCAGCACTCGCAGTGCTCCGCGGAGACACAGGGACCCGCCTGGCTGCGGAAGCGTCCTGGCTGGCACACGCAGCCCGGGACCTGCAGTGCACTGCAGTTGCTCTGAGCCTCTGTGGCATTTGTCTCCTGGCAGGTCCACTCGCAGGGTCCCTGCTGCCCCGGAGCCACCTGGTGCCACATTTCCCCTGGGGGACACTCTGCAGGGAAGACGGTCTGCTCCGCTCTTGGCCACCCTGGTTCCTGCCTGTATCTCTTGCCCTTCTGGACACCCCTGGGTCCCTCTTTCCCTTCCCATGCCCTGCATGCCTGTCCCCTACCTTCTCAGATAGTTGTGCCCATCTAGGTCTCATTCCTGACCAATTCTGTCCCCAAACCTCTGCCTCCTCAGGACCCATGCCACATCCCACGGGGCCTGCCTGCGTGTCAGAGACCAAGGTGATCTCTGGTCTCCACCCTTGCCCACTATGGTGGGAGTGCTGGGGTGCTGGGCACAAATCCACAGAGCCAGGCTCAGAGGGGGGCACAGGGCCACACCCCAACCGTGGGCTACACCAGGCAGGGCTCCTCGTCCCTGCTGATGCCTCTGGACCTGTTTCCTCAGCAGGAAAGAGCCTTCCACTCCCTGGCCTCCTGCACTTCTTGTTCAGTGCATGAGCCAAGGGCCCAGGGAGTATGGGCAGGGAGTGCTTGGCCTCTGGGCAGGGAGGAACCCAAGCGGGCAGAGAGAGAACAGCTTCCCGAAGGAGGCAGCTGGGCCTCGGCGGTGGGCAGAAGCCGCCCCCCACTCAGGCCAGCCTGGCCTCGGCTCTGCAGGGGCACAGTCGCATCTCACCCGGGCAGTCAGCGAGGGAACAGCTGAAGGTGCCGTGTTGGCAGACACTGGGGAGACAGAAGAGCCCCTCAGAGGCCTCCTGGAACCCCTTCTTTCTCAGCAGCCCTCCCCACCGTCTGGGCACTGACCAGTGGGTGCAGTTCTGGGTGAGCACGGTCCCTGGGGGCAGCTCCTGAGCCAGCTCTTCAGGGGTCAGGCTTAGGCCCCAGGGCAGGGAGCGCTGGGTGCAGGGGCAGGTGGCAGGGGGCACGCATGTGCCATTGTGCAGCAGCTGAGGTGGGCAGACTCAGTTATACTTGGACCCCCTCCTGCTCCCGCCTCCCCATCCACCTGCTTCCTCCAGGCAGGAGTCAGGTACCCAACAGCAGTACCCACCTGCCCTTCTGGGCAGCCACACCCAGGCTGGCAGTGTTCCCGCACACAGGTGGTACCAGGCTGCAGGTGTGAGCAGAGCCTTGGGCAGGAGGTGGCACAGGTGCTGAGCACCTGCCCAGGAGGGCACTCTGAGAAGCACAGAGGTTGTGAGATGAAAGCTGCCGGGCACAGGCTGCCTCTGACTGCCCCCCTCTTCTTGAGTCCACACAGCAGCTGAGGCAGGACCTGGGTCCAGCAACAATGGAGAGACAGGCAGAAGCACCCCGACCTGGGCCCTGGGCACACACCAGGGCAGCGCTGCAGGTTACACTGTCGCTGTTGCATCATGTCCTGGGCCTGGCACGGTGCTGCCCCAGGGTGCCCCGTGCAGCTCCGACTGCGCTCCTCGGTGCCCCCACCACAGGCAGCCGAGCACCTGCTCCAGGCCGACCAAGGCCCCAAGCGTGGGCACTCAAGGTGTGGGCATGCCAGGGACCCATTGACGCAGGTGCTGTGGACAAAGGTGTGTGGCAGGCCTTGGCGCTGAGTGAGGCACGCAGCCGTGGTGCCCAGAATACTCCTACCCTGACCCACCGTAGCCCCTGGCCCAGGTCACCACCACGGCAGCATACCAGTTGTGGCAGTCCAGTTGCACCACCTGAGCTGGGGCCAACTCCCAGGAGGCATTGGCACTGGGGAGGCCACAGCGGCAGGAGGAGACGGGCACACAGTACCCATCCTGTATTAGCTGGCCTGGGGGACAGCGGCAGCCTAGGGGCAGGGTGAGAAGGACAAATAAGATTCGACACTCGGCAAGGAAGACCTGCAGGGTAAGTTCCAGGATGGATGCCAGGCTCAGGTCAGGCCCGAAACCTAGTCACAGTCTCCGCTGCCTGAGCATGAGGCACTCACATAATCATCACCCCATGTCCTCATGTTTTCTACACACACCCCTGACACAGCAGGTCCTCACATCGCCTCCCAGGAGGCAGAGGACCGCACCTGAGCATCCCCAGAAGCCCCAGGCAGTGCTGTCCAGTGGCCAGTTACCTGCTTGGCAGGGTCCCTGCAGACACTGCACGTGGTCCCAGAGGTCAGCACAGCTACGAGGGCACTGATTGGCACAGTCAAGGGTGAGCACAGTGCCCTGGGTCTCACAGCTCTTTCCTGCAATCCAGAAGGTGGGAGGCTATGTTGGGGACACTCGAGGTCCCAGGGCAAGGCCCTCCCTGCCCCTGAAGCCCCCTTCAAGTGCCATCAGCAGGGTTCCAGCTTCGGACCGCCTGTGGGTGCTGGGACATGGTTACCTGGGCAAGACACCATATTGCAGCTCTTGGTCTGAGCCCATGGTCCCGGGCAGGCTCTCAGAGGAGGGCCCCCTGCCTTTCTCCAGCGCAGCTGGAATCCTCCGCTGCAGGGCACCGGACAGGGGCTCCAGGGCCCCCAGGGACTCCACTGACATGGGTCTGGGGGAGAGAATCCAAGTCAGTGCTGTCCCCACCTGGTCACACCCTGCCCCCTGCACCCCAGAGGCCCTGCTGCCTGTCAGCTGTGCCTGTCCTTACCAAGGCAGGCTTCCAGGTCAGGGCAGAGGCGCTGCTGGCTGAGGGGTGCAGTGCACAGGCGAGGGTCTCCGGCCCAGGGCCAGCCTGTCTCAGGGTCCAGACAGAGGCGATGACGATACTGCTCTGAAGCCAGCAGGGGAGCCGAGGTTGGAAAGAAGCCTGCTTTGTCCAGAGGCCAGCGCTCCTCCAGAGTGGCCCTGGACGCAGGGGCCAGGGTGCTTCGGGGCAGGCAGGGCCCACAGGGCGACCACTCAGACCAGTCACTCAGAGGCAGGAGACCTAGGAAGGCGGGGTGTTGGTGCCCTTCCCAAGGTTCCCAGGACTTGGGGTGGGCGGACAGGCAGGAGGGACGAGGGGCTGTGAGCAGGAAGGGCAGGAGGTGGGAAGGGCTGCGGGAGGTACGAGAGCAGCAGAGGGTCTGCTTTGTTCAGGGTCAGCCTGGCTTCATCTCTGAAAGTCGCTTGACCTGGAAACCCACAGCCCCGAGTATGGGGACAAACGTGCCCTTAAGCCAGTTACCTTCACAGCCCTGGCTCGTGCATCGCAGCTCTCCGTGGTGGCACTCACTGTGGGGGAGACATCAGGTGGACTCTGGGAGAGGCAAAACCCATCCCGAGCCAGCCAGGGGGCCCTTAGAGCGTAGCCTCAGCTCTGGGAGTGCTGGGGCAGGGCGAGGGACCTGCAGGGCTTGGCACTTGGGGTCACTGCCCGCTGGTGGGGCTGGGCTCCAGGGCTTAGCTGGGCCTGCTCTGCCCTCACCCTGCAAGGGCTGGCCCGCTCCCAGCCTCCACCTCCCTCCCTTTCCCCACCACTCACCATTCCTTACAGCCCAGCTGCAGGTGTTCCCCGGGAGCCAGGGTCACCTCTCCTCCCTCTCCTGAGGTATGCCAGCAGTTACACTGCTCTGGGGAGACACAGCCCCCCGCCTGCTCCAGCAGCCCCTGGTGGAAGGAGGGATGGGTCAGGATTGCTCAGAGGTCACTGCTGCCCAAATGCCTGGTGCCTGCAGCCGTGCACATGTGTGACACAGCAGATGGCCAGACAAGCACCACCTGGGAGAGCACCCCCTTTTCTTAGAAAGCCCCCCAGCTGCAGCCCTCACCTTGGGACAGTAGCAGCCAGGCTGACAGGGTGGCAGGTCCTGGCAGAGCTGAAGGCTGTGGTGTGTGGCACAGAGCCCAGCACAGGCAGAGCCGCAGGCCTGGAACTCAAAGGGGGCCGTGCAGCTGTCTGCTGTGGGAGGGGGACAGGGTGGTGGGGAACGGCCTGACACACCTGACCAGAGCACATACTGCACCGGTCACCTGGTGAGAGCACACGTCTGCCCCTAGGGAGTGTCCCCCACATGGCACCCACTAAGCCCCTGGTGCCCTCAGGAAGCATTGAGACATTTGGGCCTTAGGATCCCGGCAGGTACTTCAGGGATTGGCAGATGGGTGATACTGGAGCAGACTGGGGAGCAGTTCACAAAAGCTGAGCCAGATACCTGGCCAGGGCCAGAGGGGAGGTGTGACCAAGATATGCAATGACTTTACTTCTTATACTTCGTTTTTATACTTTTCTGCTGGATGGTTAAGGCCAAGATAAAGCAGGACCTATGCAACAAGAGTTGTAGCTTTCGGATCTGATAAGGTCATTGCAATCCCCTCAGGATTTTTCCTGAGATCCTGTACCTCAGATTGTAGA